AGGGAAAGATTATGGAGGAAGAGAATCGGCAGCTCAGTTACCAACTGGTACATGTCTTTATATCTATCTCTATATCTATACACACAAGTAGCCATGTAGATCGAGTTGTCTTGTGGTGTATTGTATGTCTGAATTGGTGATGGGTGCCAGCAACAACAAGAGATTGCTATAGCGAACAACAACGCGAGAGGAATGAGAGGTAACTGCGGGATTCACCAGGAGATGGCCGCCGGGCAATTCGCCTTTCAAGTGAAGCCGATTCAGCCTAATTTGCAAGAGAAGATCATGTCTTTGGTCATCGACTGAATCCCACTCTCATGAGTCTCTCAGCTTTCTTAATCTCAAAGCAGATGATACTCTGCAAGGACTTGGACATAAGTGTTTGCAAGACTTTTAACTTGTTTGATTATGAATGTGTGCTTTAAAACTATGCAAGTGTGCTCCTTTAGTATCCTCATATTTGCAATTATATTAGATATAATAACTTAATTTTGTTCTTTGTTTTGTATTTTTTGTATTATGATTTGTCACTTAACATTTATATAACCTTTTAGCGGTTAAAGAGAGAGAAAGATCAGTTTCAAAGAGAGCATTCATCACGTAGGGAAAAACCGATCTCAGCATATGAACACATGAGATTCTTCTGTTGTGTTTCTAAATATTACAACTTAAGATACCGACCAAATGTTCCTACGTACAAACCTCGTAATTTCGACTTGCCAAAAGCATGCAGATACGAGAAAATGGTTCACCATCGCTGGCATTTTTCATGTTATGTTTCTCCTGGTGATCATTTCTCTTTCAAACATTTGCCCGAATCACTTCGATGATCCATATGTCAATCCTTGGAGCACGGTTTAAAGGTTTATGAATAGTTCGAGCAGATCGATCCTGTAAAGAAACGAGGGCTCGGTTCCTTAATTCCTCAGTGAAAGAATCTTCTCCGACATCGGGCAGATCCAAGCTCCTCGTACTCTGCCTTGGTGACACACATCGATTCAAAATCCGGGCTGGATGCCAAAAGCGAACCCCCTCTCCATACGCCTAATATGGGGCTGCAGATATATATTGCAGCAGCATTTTTTTAAAAATTTTCACATGAACAATTGAGGAATTTCGAGGAGGAAGAAATTCTTACTCCTCTTGTGTTGTGATCTCCACATCAAAGTGATCCGGGACAAGAGGACGGAGCTCCCGTTCTCTGCGAATGCATGTAAGAGATCAAACCGGAGTAATTTTGACCATTGATGACAAAAGGGCAATACAAGAAACGATGAAACTTACAGTCTTTGCTTGAATTGGGGGAATAACGTGCTTCCTCCAGTTAATATGATGCTGCATAAGCATCGACGAAAGTTACGACAATGGTAAAAGAAATCAAGGTGAATCAAAAGACAGACTTATTCTAAGAAAAACAACCTTTGGTAAAGAACAGGGTGCAAGTAAGAGTGGCATGAATTTACAGCTCGTACGATGCATTCCGCAAGTCCGGCTTCATTCATCCCTGTCAAAAAGAGATGATCTTTTTCAGCACTACGTACATCTAAACATTCGAATAAACCATGCCGACTACATCCCAAACACAGATTTTAGTGATGAATTATTTGCTAACAATACTAACTACTAAGTGACACAAACCCAAATCTGCAGGCTGGAACATCATCTCCGGGACAAGGAACCGCTCATTCGTTAAGTCAATCTCCTGCACAATCCATGAAATCTTTACAAAGAGAGGAAGCCACTGCCAAAAGGCATAACTAAAAGGAGAAGCCTAAGAATACATTTTTGTTAATGTCAGCCTTCCTTCTCTCCGTGAGGTCAAGCTCCTCGGCATCTGCCTTTGCTTCAATCTCATCTCCCAAACTGAGGTACCTCTTTGCAGCTTCTGGGTCCTTGACATAACCGCTTGTATGGGTCACACCGTCAGGAAGAACATATGTGCATCTCATCAGGTTGCCTTTCCCACGCTCCCTGAGATTAACCAGACAAGTTAGCCGGGAAGGCAGGTGTAGAAGCTACACTCCCATAGTACAAATACCATTCACTAGCTGAAGAAAGCTTCCAGGTAACATACAGATATGATGGAATCAATCAACGATGTGCCACAAGGTACGAATCATCATACTCTTTCATTTGCATTTCTGTAATCAAATTCAAACCCAGTTTGGAGCTCTCTTTCCTAACAACGAAACCCAGAAACTTTTGGAGAAAATCTAAAGGAACAAACCCAGAAATATTGGAAATTGGGAAGCCGTTGACGTACCGAGCAACTTGGAGATCACGGAGAAGGTCAAGAGAGACAAAGCAGAGCTTCTCCTTGACATCATCCATCAAGAAAGTTTCATCCATGACGTTTATAGATCGATAGGAGACCAACTCCTTCAAGTAATTCGTCAAAGCTTTTCCGCCCAAATCGATTCTCTTAACCCCATTATTCAAAGTAAAATTCTGAAGAACAGGCACTGCGTGGGTGAAGGAGAACCCGCAATCGACGACCAAGCTGCACTGCGTCCGCGAAAGGACTGAGTCGGGTCGCCGACTCGCCTCGTAGAGATGAACCAGAGACTGAGGGTGCGCGACGTAGAGAGCGGAGAACCCAAAGTCCTCGAATACGAGCTCGTCTGTGGAGCGTTGGACGGCGGGGATGGAGAGCGGCGGCTCCGTCAGGAGAAGGGAGGAGGAAGCTGGGTCGATGCGGATGAGCGACGAGAAGAGGTGCGTCCATATGTCTCGCTCTAGATCGGGGTTTATGAGGTAGCCCCGGTCGATGGGTCGGCGGACGGCGGCGGAGGTGAGGTCGACTTCGCCGGAGAAGGCTTTGGAGGAGAGAGAGATCGGAGATGGGTGGAGAAATTTCTTAGCGGATAGAGGACGGTACAGACAGTTGGGGATTACGGCGGAGGGATCGCGATCTCCGCCGTGACCGGCCTTGATGAGGCCGCCGCCTAA